TATGTTATAACTTGTGACGTGCATTCATGCCCCCACACCATGGTATTTCCTTCTCCGCCCACACAGGCACATCGAATCCAGGGCAAGATTTATGAGTCCCCCGCAGGCAGATGGGGGGAGTGATTTCGGAAGGTGAAGACGCGGCGTGCGCGGCAGAGGTACATGATGTTCTCCTCGCTGAAGTTTCACCAGACGTCTAGAGATGCCGCATGTGACACTCAGCTACAGCTGGTCACTCTAACGTCCGATATTTAAAATTACAGGTATGTTTTTCTGTCTTACCCACAATCTTTTCTGTTTAAGGGAAAGAAAAAATAAACTTGTCCAGATGGAGGAGTGACCTTGACTGATGAAGTTATAAGTTATAGCCCTGATCTTTAACAAAGTACGCAAGGGGCAGGGGTGGCACTTCCTGCTCACTCCTGCTCACTCCTGCTCACTCCTCCATTCGCTGGGCTGTGATGCTGCCCTGGTCTCTTTGCTCTGCTTTGCAGACGGCAGAACTGGCTGCTCAGTGACACTCTGGGCAAACTCCTACTATATATCATTTGTGTGCTTTTATCCAAGGAAAACCAAAAAAAAAAAAATCATTTTTTTACCTTTTAAGGTTGTACAATGAGAGGAATTTCAGATAAGAAGCAGTGGTGGGAATAAAGAGTGAGAATCTCCTGGAACAAACAACCTCTGGCTGCGCGTCCAGTTTCCTAACCTGTGCTAATCTGTGGTCTGCTGGGTTACTATCAGCACTACGACAGGGACCTCCTGGTGTCCCGGCACACGTGCAAACTGGGCTTAGCCTATCCCGATGACGTTCAGATCGGTGGGTGTGGCTGGGCCAGGTCCAAGCGGCTGGAGTGCAGCATGGAGGATTAAAACGGGTCAAGGGGGCAGAACCACACCTGGGTGGGGGTGGAGGAAGGTGATCTAGCAAGACGGAGCGCAGCGGCTCATTAAACGGCTCTGAGCTGATCCAAACAGCAAAGCGAGTGGCGCAGGAGGACACACCTGAGGATACTCACGGCAAACTCCAGAAAGCTCTCACTTCTGGTGCCTTCCTGGGCGTGCGCATGATGCTCACTAATGTGAGGAAGGCTCCACTCCTACAGTATTGCACTTATCTAGAGTTATAACTTGAATCTCATTCACAGTGTTGTTGTTTTGCATAATCTGTAAAAACGTTAGGAATGTGCTTGCTTTGGAAAAAGCCATTTTCTAAGCAGCACGACCTGGAGAAAACAGGAACTCAGGGTGACCTCTGATCTGTTTGGAATGAAGTTTGGAGCTTCTGACATATTTGTGGGTGATCTCTGCTCCATTACCCTCCAAAGCTGTCAAGCTCAATTCAAACCCGTTTTCACAAGTTTCACAAGGGGGATCTCATTTTACATATCATGTATTTTCCTGAAGAAAGGTTTAAACAGAGGGATCCAGTTTTCCAATATGAAAATGATTCCCTGCCACCTGACAGCCACCTGACCCGAAGATGCATGACAGCACACGTATACCACTTTGACCCAACAGCACCGCCTGTGTCAGCATATAAATGTGACCACATCTGGTCAGACCTGATTCGCATCCATATCACTGAGTCCCCCCACACCCAGCAAATACGAGCCTGGTGAGCTAAATTTAGCCCAAAGCGATCAACTGTGCAGAAAAATGGCTAGTAAGATTTAGGAACAGAAGGTGGAGAACACTGGGGAGTTTGTTAGCATGCAGAACAGAATATGAATGGGTAAATACACAGAATATGAATGGGTATATACACAGAGTATGAATGGGTAAATACACAGAGTATGAATGGGTATATACACAGAGTATGAATGGGTAAATACACAGAGTATNAGAAGGGACAGAAAGAGACAGAGAGGGACAAAGATTGAGTAGAGGGGGACAGAGAGGATACAAAGAGACACTTTGGGACAGAGGGAGATAGAGAGGGTCAGAGAGGGGATAGAGATGAGGCAGAGAGGGACAGAATGTGTATGTGAGTGAGTGAGTGAGTGAGTCTGTCTGTGTGTTCATCAGCATACAGGTCAAAGCAGCCACCCTGCTCAGTCCACCCTGACCCCCTGATCTCTGAGGAGGACATGCAGTGCTCGGTCCACCCAGACCCCCTGATCTCTGAGGAGGACATGCAGTGCTTGGTCAACTCGGACCCCTCAATCTCTGAGGAGGACATGCAGTGCTCGGTCCACCCGGACCCCCTGATCTCTGAGGAGGACATGCAGTGCTTGGTCAACCCAGACCCCTCAATCTCTGAGGAGGAGGTGCAGTGCTCAGTCCACCCAGACCCCCTGATCTCTGGGGAGGAGGTGCAGTGCTCAGTCCTGTAGCCCTAGCTTCACGCAGGGTGAAACCCACACCTCTAGCTTGCTTCAGGTGGGATGTTTCCCTTTAACTCCCCCCCCGATTGAAGGCCGGTGCAGTGCCCCCATCAGCTCGGGAAAGTGCACTTATGTCACGGGATATCACACTCACACATAGAAAAGCACACAATAACCATTCCAAGGTATCTGACTAATTATTGGTTTCTTTCCTATAGGAATAGCCCTTCACCACACTGTAAGCATCCTGTAAGTAACTCTCTCGCTTGGCTCTGGATTTTAATTGGATGTTCAGGTGTCTGTCACCCTGTAAGCTGTGGCTCCGGATTTTAATTGGATGTTCAGATTTTGGAACTGCCTCCTTGCTTGGAGTTTAATTCAGAGCTCATTGACCTCATTGCTGCTTCGCGTATGATGGACAACAAAAAGCAGATTCATGTTCACTGTGGACAAACTGAGGTCATGCAAGCATCCTTCAACACTGAAATGCGCAAAAAGCACGTGAGCAGTAAATACATAGAACACCCACAGACAGCAGCTTTATCTGGTCCAAATGAGATCTGGCCATTTGTGCAGCAGCAGTGCAGCTTCCCGAGCTGCTGTCTGAGGCACGATCTCGCCGCCAGCCAGCAGCCCAGCGAGGGCGTGTGCAGAGCAGGCACCTGAAACAAACCCACTTCCTTTCTCGTCAGGGAACATTTTGTTCCACACACACTCATCCAAGGGTGCAGTGAGAGGGAGCTGTGTACGGGGCGATTTCTGCATGAAGCATGAATGAATCTAAATGTATGCAGTGCGGCCGTTAGTCTGCAGCTTTAGTATTTCAGCAGGAGCTTCCCAGCACAGCGACACCGCCGGTACGCCACTGGGTCCAACCCCGGAGCTGTGGGTTTAAACCCCAGCTCTGTGTTTACAGTCTGAGGGGCTGCGTTTCTGTCAAAGTCAAGAAGAGTAGAGTGTGCGTGTGTGTATTATGTTATAACTTGTGACGTGCATTCATGCCCCCCCCCCCCCCCCCCCCCCACCCCCCCCCCCCCCATCCCCCCCCCCCCCGGAGCTTGCTGCTGTTGCCAGAAATGGCACAAACAGCATCTAGGCCCCGGAAACCACAGCAAACATCTACGGCAATATTAAATGTGTGTGAACATTTCATAAATGGCCAAATGGTCTGTAAACGGCCAGACTCGCACCCACGCACACACACATACCCAGAGACAAACACACACACATCCACGCACACACACATACTCACAGACAAACACACACACATCCACGCACACACACATACCCACAGACAAACACACACACATACACACACACACACATATACCCACAGACAAACACACACACACACAAACAAACACAAACACTCTCACACACCAACCCACACACACACACACACCAAGTTTTGTATTCTTTATGGGGACTCTTCATTCATTTATATGGGAAAACCTTAATCCCAGCTATGACACCTTAACCATAAGTGACCAAACAAAATTCAAAACTCAAAAGTCTTTTGGTATTTTTAGATTTTTGCTTGCAGTCACAGATGCAGATATGCCCATAGACAGACACACACTCACACACACACACACACACACATACTCACATTCAGACACATACGCAGACACACACACATATGCAAACATACACGCAGAATCATGTTAGTTCTGATTTCACGCCACTGCGATGGCACTTGGGCGAACCTTCCTGGAACACCGAACATACCTCGTGAAGACCACTGAAGCCCGACTGTCATGGCCACCCCCGGAAGACCTGGCTTTGGGTCTGAGTGGCCCCATTTTACCAGTGTCCATGGGCCTGCAGATCCTTCAACTATTCCGCCACACAAAGACAGAACCCCATCGTACGTCTTCACTCCACACTGCTCTAATGTCACCCATTTTGGCAGGTAGCCAGTGGGCGGAGCTTTAGCAGGTTAGCCAGTGGGCGGAGCTTTAGCAGGCAGCCAGTGGGCGGAACTTTAGGGCCATGGAGCCCGGCTGAGGAGGAGCACCTTCACTGGTACATGGTGACAGAGCCATGGTGAAAGGTCACCACTGAAAGAATGCAAACCTCTTTCTGGGATGGAGGGTCCTGGGTGGTTCTATGATGGGGGCCTTCCGCCACGTGGACCTGGGCTCGCTGTCGGCTCCCTCACGTTCCCCTCCAGGGGGCTAAATACTACACACTAAAAACTCCTGGGTCAAAAATAACCTATAATGGGTTATTTTTGACCCAAATCCTGGGTTACTAATTTCTGGGTTATTTCAACCCAGAAAAATGGGTTATTCTTTGAAAAATAACCCATAAACCTAAACAACCAAGGAATTGGGTCAAAATATTAGCCCTATAACCCAGAAAATGGTTACTCTCTGAAAAAATAACCCCTAATTTTAACCCAACACAAATAACCCAGAAAATGGGTTAAAGAAATAACCCAGGAGTTTTTAGAGTGTATGCGAGATATCTGCACCCTCTTCTTGTCCCTGTGGAATTCTCAGGAAGCTTGGCTTCCAACTGGCCTTGAGCGTGTGAAGAGAAAAAGAGTATTGAGGAACTATCCAAATATTTATTTAAAAAGCCCGAGTATGATTGGGGGGGTGGGAGGGGGGGGTGGACGCAGAGGACTGGGAGAGGAGGGGGCAGGGATGGGAATGCCAGCATGCCGGGAAACCACTCCAAGCTCCGCGGAGCCAGAATCAGGTGGATTTCACTTTCGTTTTCTCACCGGCACTCAGAGCTTAACCCCAAATCATAAACCCAGCTGTCCCTAGCAGAGAAGTGATTACATTCATTCCCATACGCTGTAGTGCCTACCTGGCATATGAGCATTTTTGTTCCCGTTATGGACCACAACAGCAGGAGCAGTAAGCTAAAAACTTTCCCTTGGTTTTCCCCAGGAGGTGTAACCAAAGGCTGCTAGTTAACGTGAC